GAATCATTCAGTATGTATGTGGCCTTTTGTGTCTGCCTTCTTTCACTTAGCTTACTGATTTGAGATTTGGCCATGTTGTTGCATGCATCATCAGTATTATGTTCCCTTTTATTGCTGAATAGCATTCCATTACATGGATAAATCACAGTATGTTAATCCTTTAGTTGATGGAAATTTGGGTTGTTTTCAGCTTTTGATGCTGAAAAATAGTTTCACTAAATATTGTATGCGGGTCTTTGTGTGGGTATCTATTTTTATATTTCTTGGCTAAATACCCAGGCATGGGATTTCTAGGTTATACAAGTATGGTAAGTGCATATTTAACTTTATAAAAAACTGGTTTTGTTTTTTAAAAAGTTTACACAATTATTTTATCTTTATTTTAGCCTAATTCTAGCTATGTCCCATGTCACTGTTGGAGAAATCTTTTGTACAAGATACAGCTTTAACTCCAAGTATGACAAAAAAGTAACAAGAGGCCTCTTTAACACAAGTTCATGAAATAACATTTTTAGAGGAATGGGCTATTGCACAACGAAAATCATCTGCGGTCTGTTACTTTGACTTGCTGTGTATGCTTATTTATTAGGCAAATTACCTAACCTCTCTGGATGTCAGTTATTGAATCCTCAAATATGGGTGATATAGGTATCTACATTGCTGGGTTGTTACAAAGATTATATGAAATAATGTAAGTGAGTGTTCCCCACGTAATAGGCACTGCTATTAGATTAATTAGTAGTTACTGCCATTAGAGGAACAATTTTTGCTAGAAATAAAAGGCTACATTCTAGAAAAGAAATGGTGTCACACTATGGATATTTTAGGATTCATTAGGAGTTAATGTGTTTCTTCAGGGGTTGTAAATATGTCACCCCGAAACAAATGAGCTTCGTTTGGCTCTAGTGTCTATGATGTGTGAGTTTTAAATATACTGCTATTCTTACACTTTACCACAGAATTAGCATTTTGTACTTAATTTGATATGTCTTTTATATGTCACTAAAAATACCATTGTGACATAAATTATGATGGTAACTATTAACATATAAGTTATAACTTATGTAATATGATTTACCTAAGCAAGGGCTCATTTTAACTTAATAACGTTTGAAGGACTGGTATTTTTCTATAGTTCCACTTAATAAGATATTCTTAATAAAAAACATAGACAGGTTTTTAACTTTGCTGTGAAGACTATTTTCACTCTGTTTACTGGCAGGTTAGTTAATCTGCTAAAAATATTAATTAGGTTGTACTGACATCTGCTGGTAAGATGGTAAATTTCAAAAAAAATTGTGTTATAAATGTCAGTAGAATCAAGTATTTTGATTTAGTCTTTAAAACTTGCATTTGCATTCTGGGTTTAAAAAATTAGCAGCTGTACCTGATAATTTCTGATTCATAGTTCAGTTTGATTCAAGTGGTTTGTTAGCCTGCTGCAACTCTCTTTGGGATCTTTCATAAAGGCCATTGACACTTTTTAAAATACAATCTCTTCCAGTCAGTGTTACCACTGAAAGATGACATTATCATCTTCTTTATCATTCCATCATCATCATTATGTCTTTTGGTCCTAAAATAGTACAACAGTAATGATGTTATTACGTTAGTGTTCACTTTGAGAAAGGACTCCTGAGAGATAGGCTAAGGGTATAGGGAAGGTAGTAAGCTCCAACAGAGCTGAACTCCAGATTACTTTTTCTTGTCAGGAAGTATAATACGGCTCCTTTAAAACCTGGCAATTCAACACTCTGATTTGGGGGTCACAAAATTTTAGTCAGAAATAAACCTTTACCAGGAAAATTCCTGGTTCTTTGATCAGACTCTGGGTGACAGAATTATACACCATATGTCTTATCAGTAATATAAGCACATTCCCCGCTCCCCCAATTTTTTTTTTCCAATAAGCGGTTATATAGGATAAAACTTTAGCAATGCAACTTGTATTGTGATAAAATGTGTGATATATAAATGTGTATCTATCTATCTATCTATCTATCTACACACACACACACACACACACACACACACACACACACACACACCAGGATGCCAAAAAAATGTATACAGGTGGACACTTTGGTCAATGTTGCTCAAACAATAGTTTGCCGAAATCAGAAGTGTCTGGCGGCTGGTGGTAACCACTTTGAGCATCACTTGTAATTGCAGAAGTCAAACATGACTTGTATTTTCTTTTGTTATCGGTATATATTAATACAGTTTTTTCCTTTCTTGAAATACATTTTTTGGCACCCTCTGTATCCAAGCAAATATTCTATAATATAATGCCAAGCACCTTTCTTCTCAACTTCAGTACTATTGACATTTTGGGATGCTTAGTTCTTTTTGGGGGTATGTGTATGTGTTTCAGTGTCCTTACTAGATGCCAGTAGCATGACCCCCAGTTGTAACAACCAAAGCTGTCTTCAGACATTGCCAATGACACTGGGGTGGGGGTGGGGGTGGGGCAAACCAGTCCAAGTTACAAACCACTGCTGTAAATTAAAGCTCCTTCTTTCAGATTTACTTTTTTTAACTACTTAAAATATTATCCAATCTAGAATTTGATTCTTTTTCAAATAAAAGACATATTGACATATAAATGATCAATTTATATTGACATATAAAGGAGAAAGTGACTCAAGTCATCTCTAGTTTGGATAAATACTTCATTTAAACATTCAATTCTGAGCTAGAGTTAATAAAGTGAGTTCCTTAAATTGTTTTCAGTACTTGCATATTTATTCTTTCTTTTTATGCTCTAAGGTGTAATTTTGATACAGGTACTAACTCTTGGCCAAGTTGTTCTTTATCCATAATGTTTTTTTTTTAATTCTTGTATTTTCCTGATACTACAAAATTACTACACATTATGTCCTTTGAAACCAAAAGCAACCAGTGAAATGTTAGGGCAGGGATTTTCATCTTCATTGTGCAGATAAGGAAATTAAGGGGAGCCAGGACTCAGTGATGTTTCCAGTGATCAAACATTCTTTGCATTTCATCCACAGTAAGCATATTTTTGAAAATATTTGGGTTTTATACTGAGACAGCCTTTATGAAAGAAGAAAGGAGGAAGGGAAGAAAAAGGAGGTGGAGAGGGAGGGAGGGAGGGATGGGGGAGGGGGGAGAGAGAGAGAGAGAGAGAGAGAGAGAGAGAGAAGTTGGGAGAACCATAGCAGAATAAAAACTGGTTTATGAAACAGCATGGGGTACAGGATGATCCAAACTCACCATTTAAGCCCCAGCATCCCGTGAGATGTGGTCCTTCCATGTTCGTCCTCCATCATATTATCCCCCACTCCATCCCCTTCTTCTACCTCCTACCCTCCCACTGTCACCATAAGTACATGTAGGTGTGCATTCCTGATCTTGGGGTCAAAGCCCAGGTCTTCCCAAGAGAAACAAGTATGAGCATTTTCTGTGGCTTACAAATTTTTTTATCCCTGAGACCAGCAAAGGGTCAGTAATTCACTGTCTATACTCAAGCCTGGGAGCAAAAAGATTCTAGAAGCGCTTCAGATCTTCCTGGGCTTACACTACTCTCGAATCTTTTATTTGACAGTTGATTGCTTGCCTTTTCAGCCTTCTTAACACAGAGTTCTTAACATAGCCCAGGGCCTTCCAAGTCCTGCTGTATCTGAGTATTTTGTACATGGAAAAATGAAACAAAACTTTAAGTACTATGCAATGTTGGAAAGTCTAATGGAAAAGAGGTGCCCTCAGATGTGATATAGTGTAGCTATGGCAACGCCTCTGAAGGCATATAGCAGTGTGTATGAAAAACTCTAAAACACACACACTCCTAGATAGATTCCGGTATTGAGCTTACCGGACTTGATTTTAAAGAAATCATTGTTGATATGCTCAAAGATATCTATCTGTTCAAGGCTAGGACACTTACACAAATGTTGCTATAATAGTAAGAAGGTATCAAACAAAATAGTAAGAGGATTGATTACATAAAATATAGTGTATCCATCCAGTGAAGTACAAAATAATTCATGGTATTAAAACATATGCCTAGAAAAGTTAAGAGGAATAAACACAAAAATGTTTGTCTATTGTTATGTGTTGGTGGGCTTTTAATTTCTTTTTTTAAAAATTTTTTTATTGTTAGTTTCAGGTGTACAGAACAATGCAATAGTTATCCTTTTCACCCTCACAAAGTAACAACCCTCCTCCCCCCATGTTTAATTTCTTCTTTATGCTGTTCTGAATATGCCAACATTGCTAGACTACATATGTTGTAATGTTTTAATAAAAAGAAAAAGGGCATTTGAAATAAAGAAAATTGCCATGGTTCTCTGTCCATTGTTATGTTGAAACTATTTCCCACATTTCTCAGCTGGCGGGTGGAGGAGCCTTTCTGATACCTAGGTGATGAGCTGTACAGTTAACTGCACTTATTATCAGCGACACACCCCAACAGCTTTCATTTACTGATCATTTAAAATGGGCAAGACATTGTGCTATGTTGATACAAGCTATCTCCTTTATTCCTTAAAACAACCACTTGGGTAGGTATAATTCTTTTTGGCAGATGAGGAAACTAAGTCTCCAAGAGGTTAAGTAAATGTGAAATCTAGGAAGAATTTGAGCCCAAGTACTCTACTGACACACTTAATCCCTGAGCTACATTGCTTCTCTTATTCAGTTTGAAGTCTGAGCATCATCTCTTCTCTGGACCATTGGGACAAGAATGAACAGTGTACAGGGAAAAAAAGTTTTAGTAGAATTCTAGCCACAAAGCAAGAGTCTTTGTAATATAGGCTGTACTTCATTTGTTTTCATATTTGCTCTATGTCTGAAAAACATGATATGATTAACTTACGTGAAACTTAAGACAAGTTTAAGAACACAATGTGGGAGATAAAATCTGGGATTTTCCCACTGGAAAATTTTCCCACAGGAATGTAGCTAATGTCTCTGCCTGATCCTTAGCAATATTCTAGAATATTTAGAAATTTGTAAAAATATCGACCACAAAAACGTGATTCTGCTTAATTAACATGGAACACCAGGATGGTAAAAGTTTATTTTATTTTATTTATCTGCCAATGGAATCCCAAAGGGCAAAAAAATCACTACCAAGGGCGGACAAAGCAGATAATTAACATTATAGATTTTTTGTGAGGTTCTGCATTCTGTTGGTTTTATCTGACTGCATTAAGTCACACACACATGCCAATGGAAAGAAACAACATATATGGAACTGTTTGCAGAGACCTTCCTGTTGGAACATAAACCATGATTATTATAATATTCCCAGAGCTTTGCAGTTGTGAGAATATAATGGTATTATGGGAGGAAAAGAAAGATGAGGTGTAAGAGAAGGAGCAGAAGGACGATGACGACGAGAAAGTAAAAGACAAGCCTAATTAAGTACTGCTTGCTACCCGCAGTGAACAAGACCAAATACAAACACCGTGTGAGAAACAGATACTAAGTCATATAACAGAGAGAGGGCAACTTACCAATTAACTGACGCAGATTCCCTATAGAATTCCCCTCCTATGACTCAGTCTCCTATTTTTTCCTGTATCTATGTAATCAAAATTTCCTGATGATGAATAGTGCCTTAGATCTTTTTTGAAAGACACTGACTACGTGTATGATACACGCAACTCTTTAGTATCCATGAGATAACCTATGCCCAAACAATAAAGATCTTTTGATGCTGAGAGTTTTAACTAATCATTCTTTCAGAAGTTATTTTATACATGTTTCTTAAACAACACATACTTTATGTAAAACATAAGAATGTACAATCTCAAAGGTCAGATTCAGTGACAAAATGCACTACCCAAATCTAGCAAAACATTTACTTCTTGCTGCATATAAGCTGCATTTAGAAACATTGGCTGTACTTTTTTGGTGGTCCATGCAGTAAATGTTCATGAAAATCAAGCAAACTACGCATTTTTCAGCTACTAAAATTAATTCTCCCAGTCAGAACAGACTTATCAACAAAAATAAAAGCACTGATGGTTGCAGCAAAACCATGCTGGGCTGCATCAGTCCTGGAAAGGGCTGGATGGGAGGACCCCCATGGAAGCACTGATAGTCACGAATTTTCCACTTGTTTTTATGAGTGAGACTAGCCTCTCCTCACATGGCTTTTCCTTACATCACAGGCTTTTGCTAAAGAGACAGTTTAGGCTTCAAATGAAAGCTGAGAAATGCTTCTCTGGAGTTTCTGTTTCAGGAAACAGCTTGCTGTGGGTCCTTAAGGCAAATGCCAGCAGTCAAAGAAATTGTCGAGAAGTCTTAGAATGTAAATGATAAAGTTGCTGACCTAGGAGTTATATCCATGGATGAAGACTCTTCACAAGACCTACCTGGATAATATTAGCTTCTTGGTTTTTGAAGTTCATATGAAGTTTATATCCTAGAAGTGCTGTACAATTTTTTTCCCTTCTAGGTACTTCTGGAGTTGATAAAAGATCATGATGTTGCTTAAAAAAATAAACCAACCAACCATGGCATGGAGAAGCTACTCAAATACTAAGCAGTTTTGAAGTTTGTTTTAGTTTGTTTGACGTTCACATTTTACTTTTGTGATTGGCATATGGAAAACCAAACTGAGAGATCATTATGTTGGAGTACTTTAAGGGCATGCCGTCATAGATGTTAACAAGCTTATTGATACAGTAAGACCTCTGCAGAAAGTGCTCAGCTCGATGCCACATTCCAGAATGGCCACCGCTGGTTTCTTTTTCTAAATTGCCCATGTTTATGGGTTTCACAAATATCCCTGAAGTCTTCCCAGTGTGCTTGGCAATGATAAAGTTCATGGCAATATCATCACAGTTTTGCGTTTCATCTATCAAAGCATGGACAGCTGCAGGCTGCCTCTGAAAGAGTTCAAGGTATTTGCTATTGAAGAATGAGGCTCCAATCAGCACCACAGAGTACTGGTCACCATCTCCAAAGCCTGGTGTCTGCAGTTCAAAACCTCCATAACTGTAGATACCTGATGAAGTCAAGACATGCTTTCTAGGAACAAATCCTACAATCTGATCGGGAAATTGCTGAACAGATAGAAAAAGAACAATTAAGTGTGGTATTTCTTTAGAGCAGAGCTGGTAAAAAAGGTAATGATTTATTACAGAGAGAATTAAATGAATTTGTCAACTTTATTTCATTCGTGGTTTTACCTAACTCCAGGCAACTTCATAAATCTATGTCCTGATAAGTTTACAAGTCAAATTCCATCACAATTCAAATCTCTAACAAAATTTCTAACCTCACAACGTTCTCCTAATTCAAACATTATCTGATATTAATAAGTTCTAGTCACCAGAGTCTGGTTCTTCAAAGTGTGCTGCAAGGAAGTTGACTGTATGAATGTTATTTATTATAGGAGATAAGAAGATATAATGTGATTATTTCAAAACATGGTTTTAATCTCTTTAGGAGTACATAAAATGATGGGTCTACATGTATGATTTTACTGTTTTTCCATAATGACATCAATGCTCTTAAAAGTCCTTGTTGATTTCAAACAATGTAATACTTTTATCCCTTTCAGCTTGGGTGTTTTCTCTTTAAAAATATGACATTATATAGAAATATAGTAAGATGTGTCAGGATCTCTGAAGCAAGTATAGCAGTAAAACAATATTGGGGTGAAAGTGACTAAAAATATCAGCAAACAAAAGAAAACCAGTGAAGCATATGAAATAGGTAAGAACTTACAGAGTTACAAGGTTTAGTCTAATCTCATAAATTGAGTTTCACTCATTTACTGAACACCCACTAAACTAGGGACACACACATACATCAGACTAGGCTATATCCCATTTCGAAGAAGTCACAGTCTACAAAGGGTATGCAAATAAGGAACTACCAGAGTATGAGAAAGCTGTAAGGGCAGTTGGGTAAATTTCATGGGAGTACTGAGGACAGAATGACAGCTGTGCTGCTGGGAGGCAACAGGGAAGCTCAGGAGGTGGGGGATAAAAGCTGGGAGGCATCAGGGGAGACATACCATTGTATAACCTAGGAGGATGAAAGAAATTTCAGAGATGTCTAGAGGAGGAAAGGGAAAGCACTGAAAGTGGAGGTGATGGTTGTAGTGGGAAGGTGCAGAGATGCCTAATATTGCTTGCCTCCATCCATTACACCATGTTACATCAAATCATTACACGATGTAGGGCACTGGTGGCACCGAACTTTAGGAGTCAGGTTATCTTGAGCAATGGATGGCAATTGTTCTCAATATTTTTATGCATAAAATCTAAAATCATATTTATCTATCTTTAATTATGGTTTATTTGCACTGTTCTAATTAACTGCAGTTATTTCCCCCCACCCCTGACATTTTAGGGAAATTGATTTTTTATCTGAAATAGAAATCTCACAGCTGGAGTATTACATTAGAACTTTTTGCCTAAAAAGCTTTTACTTACAGGGCTGAAAAACTGCTAATATGGAAAAAAATCTGTTGATCAGTTCACTAGGCGTGAAGTTATTTAAAAACTGAAGTTGGGGGGAATGCTGGTATCTGCAGAGTCCTGTGACCACTCACTGTTAATATGTAATATTATTCTGTCCCAAGTAGCTAATTAAGGAGTTACTATAGTGCCAATTAGACCATTTATTGCGTAGCACAGTATTTAAATATTTGAGAGGGTTTCGGAGTTCATTTGTATGCAGTTCTAGCTTCAGGTAATTGTAGTGCAACTTGTAAAAGCCAGCTACCATTAACACATATTCGATAGGAAAGGGCTATTTTTATAGAATAGTGAGTAATTTGTGCCCATTTATCCCAGCTAGGATTTAGGAAAAAAAACAACAACAAAACAAGCCTGCTGTCACCACGGTGCACATAGCATTATTATTATTACTAATTGTTAAATAACGACCTCAGAATCAGGATTAAATTTTGTAGATGTAATAAATGCTTTCTTTTAATGAAAGCCATATACAATATTAATACAAAAATACACTTCTCATTTGAGACTCACATCTGTGGCCTTGTGCAAACTATCTCTGCATTCTAGTCTTTGCTATACCATATACCAGAGCATTTCCTCATTGTTCTTTGGAAGGTAGTTCTGGCTCTTCCCAGTATGCCAAATATAAATCCAATACGGATAGAAGATAGCATAACTTTCAGGTTGACTTAACTGAGCACAGGAAGTCTCGACTACAACGTAACAAATTTATCTATCTTTTAGATAAATATTGCCTACGTTATTTTGGGTGACTCCTACATGAAACCATGCTGCCCTGGTTAAACACCAGATAAGACTTTATTCTGATGATTTCACAAAGGATGTAGTAACCTTACCTGCCAAACCGAGAAAGCAAAAACAAGGTCCTGGGCGCTAATTAGCATGTCATCGTCTACCATCAACACTGCTGAAATGGAAAGACAACATGTAAATCGAACAGTTTGGAAATGAAAACAAAACTAGTAAGATACAATGGTGTCTATATAGATCATTCAAATGAGGTATTGTCTAAGAAATTAGTAAATAAGATATGTAGTCTTGGAGAAATTTGTCTAGCAGAATTTTTTTTTTATTTGAATTATAATTGATTTTATAACTGCCTGGGTGAAAATGATCATGTAGTTATCCATTACACTAGAAATTAATGAACCTATAAATAAATAAAACCGAGGTTTTTTTCAATGCAAATTACCACCTCATGAAACTGCTATGAATGTGATGAAAAAAGGAGGTGGTAAGAAATACATTAAGCATAAGTTAAATGGCATTTCATTACCTCCTGAGATGCAATAATATATAATTACAGCATATCTCCTTTCATAATATTAACCTCTTTGTCACTGTTGTAAAGATGTATGTGCTGTCTTCCCCAGGAAACTGCCTCTTGACATCTTGGAAATTGCCCCTTAAGTTTTTCAAGAAGCTTTCTTATGATTAAATTTCCCTTATTTTCTCCAGACAATTAAGACAAGTAGGAGGCGAGAAGTCCACAAATCCGCACCCCCTGCTCTGGTTAGCTGCAGCCCTGCCAGGCTAAGAACCCAACTGCAACTCACCACTGGTCTCCAGCTCAGGAAAGACCTGGAGCCGATTTCTCATCCTGTTTTTTGTCTGCAGTTTGAAGATCACAGGGACAGGGTGAGGCCCGAGAGAATTCCATAACTCCTCCGGTCCCTTCTCCTCGACATTGTTCCACACCACAATCACTTTGTGCAGATGTGGTATTGCCTGATAATGATTTAAAAGTCTCAGTAAGAGATCTGTTCTGTTGTATGTCTGCATGATGAGAGTAAAGGAATCCAGGGTGGACTTGCTCTGGGGTTTTATTTCCCTGCGTGATGTAGGCATCTTGTCTTCTTTGACATTAGGAAGGAAAGTGGTCAAAGCCCCAGCTACCAGTAGTAACACAAGGACGACCACCAAAGAGAAGCGAAGCACTCGAATCCCCATCACTCTGCCAGGAAGTTTGAAGATGTGGCAACACCTGGAGTAGAAATGGAAATGAAATATAGACTCTTAGCATTCTTACTAGTTATTACGGTTTGTTTTTGCTTTTTTAATGAGAGAGTTTAATCTTCTTTTAGTTGATTCAATTTCAGTTAACCCTGCCTCTGTGATTTGGCCGGTGAATAAACCTTCCCTCCTGGGCCCACTTGCTTTGCAGTTGCAGTTGCAGACAAAAGATCTTCTGCACACCAAATAGGAAGAATTAAACAGTGCATCTTAAAATTTACTCTCATTTTACTACAAAAAATTTGAAACTGAGATTGTGTTTTCAAATGGGATCGTATTTCCCTTAGTAGTATACTCATTTTAAAAACTGCTTTATTGAGATATCATTGACACATAAACATCATATGTATCAAAGGTGCACAACTGGATGTTTTGATATATGCATTATACTAACTTCATAACTGCAGTATACTAGCTTTAAACTTACTTTTTGGTAGAAAACTTTTTTCCAAGTGAAATTATATGCAGAACCCTAACAACTGAAGCAGATGATAATGGTAGCAGAAGCAATTATAGTGGGTTTATTATTTATTAGACCTTGCACTCTGAATGTCATAGTATGTACTTATTCATTCAATAAATTAAACAAGTAGTTCCTAAGCACTCACTGTTTACGTTCTATGAGTCCAGCAATGGATAAGACAGACAAGGTCTCTGCTTTTAGTAGCAGAGGCGAAAGTAGAGACAGATAAAGCAAACCAACTCAAAGATGACTTGGGATAGTGGTAATAAAAAGAATAAATCAAAAGTGATATGATAAGGGCCAGATTATGGGGGATCTGGTCACCCTGAATAAGGAGTATGGATTTTATTCTACCTGAGGTGGGAAGCCACTGGAAGGTTTTGATCAGGGGAGTGACAGGATCTAGTTTATTGTTTACTATTATTATTCCCATCTAATAGTTTAGATGCTTACAGAGGTTAAATAACTCTCAAGATTATGAAGCAATTTAAGTAAGGAGTTCGGATTTACATCCAGGAAAATCTGCCACCAGAGCCCAGGTCGCTCATCATTATGGGCTCGGGAATGTACCGCCTGGACTCTGGACTCAGAACCAGGCTGCACTGAGGTAGGGCACCCTGTACACAAGGAACCAGGTATGGTAGTCAGCTATGTGCTCTCCCTTTCTGCACTATTCCCAAAGGAACTGCTGGAGATGGCCACAGAATAGAAGGTGAATAGCTGATGAATGTGGCTTGGGTATTTACTGGTCAAAATATTTTGTCAAAGCAAAACTCTCAATCATATACGTAAGGTAAAGTTAAATCTTACAGGCAGATTTACAGAGACCTAGAACTCTGATCTCCTGGCTTCCACTATAGCTTCATTATCACCCCTGCTGCCTCCTTCTGGAGCACGTTGACTTTCAATTGTTGCTGTTTCTTTATTCTTCTGTTGTTTCTGCTTCTGACTCCAGACCTTACTTGATGAGACAGGCAAAGAGTTAACAGGAGCGAGCTTGTGAGTTAGCAGGAATGAGCTTCAAAAATTAACCGCTTGGCTCTGACTCCCCTGGTCAGCATTGCATGTACAAGTTGACAAGCACCTTACATCCATCATAGATGGGAACAGAATGGTTCCCAATCACAACAGCAACCCCCCTGCAAGCTGATGTTCATCATAGATGGGAACAGGACAGTTCCCAGGAGAAGACAATTGTAACAGCAGCCCGCCTTCAAGCTGACAAGTACCCTAAATCCTGCACAGAAAAATATAAAACCCCAGCTAAACAGAAACCTGCCGCAGCTCTCTCTATCAGACTGCCCTGGCAAACTCCTTTTGCCAGTATTTCTCTTCCAAACAGAAACCTGCATCAACCGCCTAATCTAGACTGCCACGGGTTCTCTCTCTCTCTGGCTGACCGTCAATAAACCTTTTGTTGCTTTCCTACTTTTTAGAGTCTCATGAATCCTTTCACATTCTGCGAATGACCAGGAGTAATTATATACCAAGACATTACTCGCTCCTCCACGAGCCTCCGTAAGCGTTCTAGGTATGTCCTCATTTTGTATTCTGGCAACTGAGATGTTATATACATTTGTGGACCAAAAAGGGGTTCCACGGAAAGTAATCTAACAGGGTGATCTGACCATAAATTTCTAACTGGGCAGGTCATGGTGGACAGTCATGCCCCAGGCCTAAAATTTCTTTAGTAAAAGGTTTATATTTGCCTTAAGTACTGTATTTCCCCATGTATAAGATGCACTCTTTTAAAAAAAATTTGGAGTCTAAAAACTGGGTGCATCTTATACAGTGGTTGTAGCTAATGTTTGGGAGTTTTGACAGTAATGAGAAGTTGTATGAATTTTATGATGAATAAAACTTGAGTTCAATAACTTTATATAATGTTTTTTTTCAAATTTCGGGCCCCAAAATTAAGGTGCATGTTATACATGGGAGCGTCTTATACATGGGGAAATACGGTAAGTCCTGTCCACTGTTTTTGTGCATATAGGTTAACACACCTTTGAAATAAACTGTAAGCCTTGAGAGGGCATGTCATCTTAACTATCCTGTAATCGAATCCCTGCCCTGCTTACTCCCATCCTCATGTCCTCTTCCTTAGTTCCCTCCTTAATTCAAAATGCATAGAAGAAGCTGCAAACTGCCATTCTAGTCTGTTGATATTTTGCTTCCAGGCATAACCTCTGTTTGGCTCAAATAAATTTTTATAAAAATTCTCTATAGGTTTGACCTTCTTAGGTCAACACATCTTAGCATATATCCAAGATCTATTCGACTACTCTATTCAAGTACAAAAGCCAGAAATGAGGAAAAAAGAATGTTCAAAGAAATTTACTTCTGAAAAGACTAAAAACAAAAGTCAATGAGGAGTTTCTAAACATTTTAAATATACTTTAAGGAAAAAAATAGATCTTTTAGAATCAGAAAGAATGAGATATTTTTCTTGATGACTTTAATTGAATCATAGGCTGTCCTCTTACTATTTTTTGATATGATTTCTCTTCTTAGGCTATAAAAGAAGCAGATAATCTCATGTGTTTCTTAATACAGACAAAGACAATGAGCTGGAAATGGCTTCTAACTGCTCACCCACAGCCGTGGTATGCTGACTGCACAGAGCCACTGTCACTCTTCTTTGTATAATAACACTGCCTCTGTACAGTTTATTTTTGGTTGTCTCCATCTTGCAAAAGTGCACTGTGTGTATATCTAAGCTCTTGATTTCACACCTTGTGCTTTAAGTTGAGCATTTGCAGCTAGGCCATGATTCCACAAGTCATCCTAAAACTGTAGCCTAAATCTCCCTGTCTAACAGATTAGATTCCAAACCAAATCTCACTTTGCTTTCTAAATGAATTACAATCAACCTTTTGTTTTTCATTCAGGAGACTTGGCAGTGGTTGGGTTAAAGTGACAATCGCATTCCTATGATCTTGTTTCATGTTATGAGGTGTTTTGTAATTGTAAACACAGTTTCTCTCTCTGTAGTTCAATAAGGACATAGAGACCACATTGACCAAGCCGTTAACATCTCCCTTTGAAGTTTATGACAATGGGGGATGGAGCATTCCAAGGGGGTAGGGGCATGCACCCCATAACGTGTTAGTGCGCTGAGGCACGTGCGAGCAAAAAAATAGCTTATTCATAAGATGAGGGAATGGTCACTGCCTTTCAGCAACTCTCAATTTTCAATAGTGCAGATTTGAAAAGCAATGCTAACGTTAGTAACCTTTTCAGAGAGTGTTCTAGGATATTCTCTCCTGGACTTTCTCTGTAGTCTGTTTTTATAAAAACAGCAATTTTATGTTTCCCTTGTATCATGGCCTCACTCTAAGATATGAGTAAAGTTAATTAGTACTTTTAAAGCAACCCCGGGCCAGCTGAGTGGCACGTTGGTTAAGAGTTGGCTTGGGATGCCAGCTCTGAGCAGCAGGGCCCCGGTTCGGATCCCACATGAGGGCCAGTGATGCTGCGCCCTCTACAGCTAAGATGGTGAACAACAGCTCGACCTGGACCTGGGCTGCTGTGAGTCACCAGCAATGGCGTAGGCTGCAGTGGGGCTGGGCGCAGTGGGACTGGCCGGCAGTGGGCGTGAGCGGCCGTGAGTGGCTGTCCAATGGCCAGCGAGTGACTGCCTCACCTGGGAAGAGCGCAATGATAAAACCAACATGGGCCAGCATAGCGGCGTCCTCCACAACTAGACTGAAGAACAAAAGGACAGCAACTTGTCTGTTCCCCTTCCCCGATTCCCCAATACTGTTCCCCTCCCCCAATTCCCCAATAAAATCTTTAAAAAACAACATAAAAAAACCCCAAAATAACCTCAATTTTACCATGGTTATTTTTCAAGGACAGTAGTTTTAAGATTTAGAGTACAATGCTTTCAAAAATATTCACCCTCTAACTAAAACAACACATACTGTTAATGTAGTCAACCAAAGACAAATCATTATAAAATAATAATCTTGGTTCCAAGGCCTTGAATTTCACTATAAATTTCACCCTAATACTGAATCAAAAGCAGGTCTTGTAAAATATATATTCAGTACTGCATAAAAATGGCTAGTTATAAGCACTCAGAATAAAGAATCATCTGACAATTGCATTAAAGAATGCACTGATTAAGAGCTTAATGTTCATTTTCTACAGCTGAGTAGGAATAGCATATTGTAAAACTTACATAGAAGTGTTTCTAGTCTCTAATAACTTACTATTTGACAGTTTTAGTCCTGAAAAAGTAATGCAGTTTCATTCCTATAGCCTACTATAAATATACATTGTCAAAGATACTCATGAATGACTGTTTTACTTTTATGTATACTTTTCAGTAGGAGTTCATCTCCATTCCCATCATAGAAATTTCTTCTTTCAGATAGCTTCAAATCCCTTATTTCACCTATATCAAGAAGGTTTTGTGAGATATGAATAATTTACATCTTTAGAAGGACAGTGTAAATATTTCATGTAGTATTTATTAAATAATGCAGCCCAATAAAATTACACAA